GACCTGAGGGAATGGAGCCACCACAGGCAGGTTAGGAATGGAGAACCAGAAAATACGAGAAATTGAAGAAGAAGAAAAGATAAGTTCAGATCCAGGCATGCAAAATGCACGGGTCCCTGTGGAATGCACAGGTGTCAGGAGTGACAGTTCACATTTACTGAGCATTTACTACATGTCTGATGTTGTGCTAAGTGTGTTACAGGATCCATTTAGTCCTCATCCTAACCATGACACTGGTGTTGCCATCCACATTTGTGCTGGCTAGTGTCATATCACCTTGACACAAGCTAGAGTCATTCTGGAAGAGGGAACCTCAGTTGAAAAAAATGCCCCCACCAGATTAGCCTGTGGAGACGCCTGCAATGCACTTTTTTAAACTGATAATTGATGTTGGAGGGCCCATCCCACTGTGGGCCATGCCATCTATGGGCTGGTGGTCCTGTGTGCTTTAAGAATGCAGTCCGAGAAAGCCATGAGGAGCAAGCCAGTAAGCAATATTCCTCCACGGCCTCTTCCTACAGGTTCCTGCCTTGCGTTCCTGCCCTTAGTTACTTTGATGATGGACTGTGATATGGGAATGGAATTGAAATAAACCCTTTCCTCCCCAAGTTGCCTATGATCATGGTCTTTATCACCCTAAGATAACAGCTTGGTTGGAACCACCAGCTCGCTACTGCACTGTCTGAGAAGCCCGCCCCCCTCTCTCTCCAAACTCCACCCTCAGAGAATCTCCAGCAAAGAAGAGGCACAAAAACGCCCAGTTCTGTATTCTTGGTGGCTGTGGCAGCTCTTCCCCTGAGGTTGCCAGCAGCCCAAGTCCCCACCTAAAGCAGTCAGGGTTTTTTTTTTTTTTGCCATAGTTGAGCACAAACCCAGCTTGTGGTGGACACGTCATCAACTCTTGCCCACAGACTATATAAGCTCCCTGCTTTAGTTTGGGTGTGTGACTTCTCCAGCCTTGATCTCTGGGACTGGAAAACTCACCCTGGAGTTGCTTTGCTCAAATAAACCTGTTCTTTTACTTTTTCAATTCATCTTGATCTGGCTTACTGCTTCAGTGGAGAAACTTATTATCAGGCTACAGAAAACCTATTATAACATTCTACAGAGAAAAGATACAGAAAGGCCAGATAACTTGCCCAAGATGACTCAGCTGCTAACAGCTGGGTCAGGCTTGGCTAACCACAGATCTCTCTCTCTCT